CTGCCTCTGATGAGGAAAGCTTCGTTGGCACTGTTGATAGTGGCCAGAATGAACAAATGGAGAATGCTGAAGACAGTCCCTCTAGTGAAGATGACAACCCGAACCCTTGGGTCGCGGCTGGTACCCGACGTAGGGCATTTAGTTTGGACAGTAGTTCCAATCAGAATAAATTTCGGTTGCATGCTTTAGAACAAACACGCGTGAATTCGGATAAAATCCGGGGCAATCAGGCCAAGAAACCTGTACCCCTTGCCATGGCTACTGTTAGAAAAGCTGAGAGAAATAATCCTCGAGCACAAAAGAATGAAACCCGTCATCGAACGCAGTCGGATAAACAAAATCCCACTCATAAGAATCTGACTGACAACTCCTGGAACGAGGAAGGCCCCTTCAAGGACAAAGGAAATGGCATGGACCCAATGAACTGGGGTGCCACTAGTCAGTCTGAACCTGACACTGATATAAATCAGCACGGTGCAATTGAGAACTCCAGGGCTGTCTGTGATAGCGCCCAGCAGCGACAGATTCAATTACCGAAGAAAAAGTCATCAAAAAAACCTGAATGGGCTAAGCTGCATAAAGTCCCTGAAGCATTTGCTAACCAGGTCCGGGACATTGTGGGGCAGCGCCCACGAAAATCTCATGCTATCAAATGAGTTGCGAGCCCAAGTAGCTCGTTGACAATATCCAACCTAACCAAGGGCAAGAAACAAGCTGTAGAACAGCAGAGCAAATGTCGGAGGGTGTCATATGCATGCAATTCACCCTAATACGCTTCCCGGACCGGCCCGGAGCGGCCGGACTTCGGAATAATCACCTTGTGACCTATTTATTATTCCGAGCTTTCATCGAGGTCTTATGACTGTATTTTGGAGGTATATAAGCTAGGATACTTTGTACGTTGTAGTCAAGCTTGTAATCAAGTGTACCACCTTATCCCACTCTTTAATATCTCTTTTACCTTTGCTTCCGAGCTGTTCCGGACTCCCGGATCACAGGAACCCAACCTAGGCTGCTCATCTTGACATTATATCCTTGCCACTATATTCCCGGGGACACAACAGTGTGTGAAGGGTGTTGCTAATAGCTTCACCGACGTCCCACTCCCAGTGTGTACTACAGGCCAATACTTAGCTCCGGACCTCGGAGTTATCCCGGGCCATTTCCGGCCCATATCCGACCTCAGAACCTCTATAGTTATTGACCTGTAGGCACAGTCTTGTCAGAGGGAACCATCCGAATCATCCTCTAGCTCATCCGGCTCTGAATCGAGCTCTTTGTCACCTGAATCTGACTTGGAATCTAGTTTTGAGACTAGACACAATCATGGACATCGAGGGCAACAACGTCGCTCACACAAGAAGAAATCAAAGAAAATGATATTGAAACCCGACCCGCCTGAACCTTACGACGGATCGATTGACATTACAGCGTATTCAAAAAACCTTGTCAGTAGCGTAAAAAAACAAGATAAAATAAAATAAAATCGAAAAGGTACCCGACGTTTTAGCCGACCGCTTAGTGAGCGCGCTGTCACTCGCGCCTTTCGCCAATGATCTTTCGTGGTGGAAGAGTATCTGTAAACCCTGGATGTTTGCTAGAGTAAGGGTACTAGCTGGAGAGTGCTGTTTAGTACTGAAAGTACTCCCAGCCCAGCAGTTTTTCAGTACTGCTGGAAGCACTTTCCCAGCTGGACAGTGCTGTCAGTTGAATGTGGACAGAGCTCCTCCCAGTATGGTCAGACTCTCCAGCGGCATCAGCATCTGTTAGTCCTACCTCAGAAGCAAAAGAACTGCCATCATACTACATTGTCGAAAGGTGCGAGTGACAGCGCGCTCGCCAAGTGGTCGGCTAAAACGTCGGGTACCTTTTTGATTTTATTTTATTTTATCTTGTTTTTTTACTACTGACAAGGTTTTTTGAATATGCTGTAACGCATACATTAAATTTGTGACCGAAGGTACTGCATATGTCCGTGATGGGCATGTACCTCGAAACCGACGAGTTCTGAAGCTGTCAAAATATCTGAAATCAAAAGCTTACCAGTTCTATTTGACCACTGTAGCAAACTCTCCATTCGATTGGAGATTGAAAGAGTTCTTTGTTGAACTATACAATTATTGCCTCCCAGCGACGTACCATATCGACCAACGCTGAAAGTTGGAGCGCGCAACACAGGGTAACAAGTCTGTTCGAGACTACCTTGCACAAATTAATAACCTATTCAGTACGGTCGGAATTCTTGATGAACGCGAGAAGGTCCACAAACTCTGGACTAGTCTGAATGCAAATATTCAGAAAGGACTGTGGAAGGAGAAATTGAATCCGGAATTGTCCACTTACATTGAGGTGGCGAGCACAGCGGAGCTCATTGAAATTATGGAGAATAATATTACCTCAGACAGCAGTGAATCCGAACACTCTTCTGCACAGAGATCTGAAAGTGAATATTCCTCAGAAGAGGAAGATGATTCTGAAATTGAAAAGGTCTCGGACAGTAATTTCTATTCAGAGAACCACTCCGACGAGGACCAATCCAAGAGCAAAGACCACAGTGATAATGAATCTGGCAGTGATGATCAGTATGAGAACAGCGAACCAGATGACTCCAGTGACTCTGATCATCCCCAGAATACATACCAACATCATTCGCAGCGACGACGACTTTCCGAAAATAAAAGAATTGAATATCTTGCGACCGGCAGATGTTTTCGATGTGGCGGGTATGGCCATATAAGCCGCTATTGCCCGAATGGATACATTACCGAAGCTTCATGGAAAAATAGAACGGCGGACATTGAGCTCGGAATGATGAGCTTTGCACTCAATGAACCAGTCTCACCGTTTGAAAATGATAACAGAAAGACCGTTCAAGAGGCTGGAAAACACTCTCGTAGCATGGGAAAGAAAGATTTCGTCTTCAACGGTCACCGTGAAGAACGAAAGGAGGGCGGGAGAATGGATATGGCTCTGACGTCTCGAAAAAGACATATGAAAAAGAGGAAACCTACCCCAGGAATAGATTTCGCACTTGAAGACTTACCAGAACGGCACCAACATATCATTGATTCGAATTTGCTGCCAACAAAGAATGGAGGATATGAACACCTCACCTCGCTAAAACGGGTCAGAAATAACAAAATCCTCATCAAGCCGTACGATGGATATACTCACTTCGTCACTGTTTCTGATGTTCGCACCTGCCTCGACTTTGACCGAATCCTGCGGAAAAGAAGCTTCAAATTGCGAACGGCCGACATCCCGGCCATCTACCCACTTTTTGCTGAGCGTGTTAATAGCGACCCAGTCATTCGTCCCTACCAGCTCGCTACCTTCGATGTTGATACCGGAATAGTGTATACACAGGCTCCACCTGTTGATCGGCGACTATTTGATCCATTCACGCGCGAAGATGATTTGAGAATAAACGTGTAGAAAGGAAGGACTGGAAGAAGGGATATCAGACAAAAGTTTCAATGAGGGAGGAGGCTAGCTCACCTGGATCTTCCCATGAAGCCCGAGGTCCTTCCGGCAGCTTTGTTCATCCATCTACACCCAGAGATTCCACTATCTCAACTGCTTCTGAAACAGCCTCTCATACAGACCAAACACATCACCCTCATCCTACTCATACATCCTTCGAAATCTCCTACAGCCCCACTATCATATCATCCGGTCCTAATCCATCTCTCCTTAATGATGCGTTGGCCACAGAGGAAACGCCAGTCTTGACCAATGAACCGACACACAACAGTTGTACCCAGTCTTTTGACAACGATTTGCCAGACCCTCGCGTTGGACTTCGACCAGACAGAAGCAGATACCCTCAGCGTCGACGATTTTCGACAATTGATGCATCAGTTGACGACGATCGAGATGATTGAGAGATCCTCATCATGAAGGATCTCTGGAGGGCGTATGTAACGGAGTGTCACACGTTGCTGGTTACTTAGCGCCTGATTTAGCGCTTCATTCGGACTTTACCTATGCCTGCTCGTACTTATGCTTACCTATGCTAGATTATGCAGTATGAATATGCTACCATATATGGAACACTGACTCTTGTAGGGTATATAAGGATACTCGATTGTACTATGTACCCTAGGTTATCCAGAAAACTCCCCAGTTAAAACAGTTCTCTCGACGACCTACCCTAAGTCCCCATCTCTCTCTCGTGTGGTGTTACCGTGATTCGTCACGCTACCGCTACAAAGGTCTAGTGACAATCTGAGGAAGCAACAACGGTGTCTGCTTTGAGTGATACATAAGATCGGCAGAATTTTGGTAAGCTCCTTGCTGGGTGAGAAGCTGTTTCATCATTGTGATGATTCACTTCAAATGTAAGTTGGTCGTTGTTGGTTTCCAAGGGTGTCCAGTCCAGGTTGTAAATTCTAAGATCGTAGTGGAAAAAAGAAGTCAAAATTAGAGATAAGACTTAAACAAAAGTCGATTACACGTGAATCAATTATTCAAAACTAGTGGACCCCTGCGGGGCACGACCAACCTTGCTTGATGTATGTTTTCTTCTCTCAAACCATTTTTATTCACTCATAGGGTAACGAGTAGGAGTTGCAAATGAATCAAAACATGGCGCTACATATTATTTGTTTTGAGCTAAATGTCCAACACAAAGTTAGAAACGGTCCCGGTCGCTTTCAGACAGTGAATAACATCCTGTAAAGCATCTTGAAAGACCTGTTGCTCAACCCCTTGTCTTCCAAGGGTATGCGTATAATGAGTTGATGCACGTTGGGCAATTTCACGCATTCCAGTACACAATCCCACAACATCTTTGACAAATGAATATTTCCGAATGTTTAAAAAGTTGTGCGTTGGGTTAAAAGAAGTCCGAATAGTACAGAGGGACACGATAGAAAGGCGCTTAACGTGTGAAAAAAATGCATGGGCGCTTGGCAAAGACGGGGTGGCAAAGGACCTTTTGAATATCAACGGATTCCACGCCTTGAGAAATAATTTCGAAAATACACCAAAATTGAGCACTCCCTGGCTGGGAGTCGAACCCAGCTTTCGCGCGGATTTATGTTATGACAGGCGCGTGTACTAAACCGATATACTACCAGGGACATGTGAAGCCTTGTCAGGGTCTAATCTATCTTCGCTGCTATCAGTGGGACAATCATCTAAAGCGTCGATTTCCTCAAGCCAGCCTCAAGCATCCTCCAACCTTTCCTTTGGGCTCATTTAGTTCGCGGTCGTCAGATTTCGAATCTACATGTCAAGAATCAACGTTACGGCGGTCACACCAAATTTTGTGGTCTCGTAACCAAGCAGCGACAGGAAACCGAGCAGGAGGAAAGAGAGATGTCGAGACTGCGTTTACAGGAGTGATAGAGCAACATACCCACTCAGCAGTGCACATATAATCAGAGCGACTTGAAACGAGAGGTAACTGAAGAAATGATTCTGGATATTAGGCGAAGCCCGCCGCATGCATGCATGATTCCTAAAAGGAAAGACAAATAGTTGCATCCAGATTGCAGAAAAAATGAGATGTATGTAGCTAGATTAAATACTTTTGTGTTATGGTGATGATGAGAAAAGGCTAGCATAGAGAGGGCTGGACGGAGAGAGAAGTGGGGACTGTTATAAGGAAGGATGAAATATAGTGCCGCATGATCATCGAAGAGGAAATACGAGAGCGGGACGGAAAGACGGTGTTATGGAAGAGCAGGGACAACGGGGACAACAGAACAAGAAGAAATGAAGCCTATCAAAAAGAGTGCGACGACAGCGAAATACGAACAATCCGAACGATCCGAGTGTATGGGATATCAGGATATCAGGGAATATCAATCATGAAGGTATGCTGAGTTGGAAGAAAAAACTCAAGAAAAGAGTTGGGAGAGAATGAGAGAATGAGAATAAACGATGGGCGTGATATGAGCGAAAAGAGTTGGAAAAATATGAATGTTATGAGTTATAAGTATGTTATTGTCCAATTGATGTCTGTTGTTTTTCAACAAGTTGGTTGAGTGTAGTGTATATCGCGAATCGCGACGAGAGAGAATAAGTGGACGAACGAACGAACAAACAGAGTCCAGAAGTCTGACAGCAGTCATCTACCTCCACCAACATCTTCTCCCCGCTATGATGTGCCCTTGGATGCGGCTCCGTCCCCGTTATTCGAATTATCCGGTCTCGCAAGCGGCGAGCTCTTCCTCACAGGTGAACTACTGTTACTTGCTCTCCCACCAATCCTTTGACCTAACCCTGCACCTAGTCCTTGACCTAATCCTGCACCGGGACCTCCCGGTGGGAACGGTCCAGTGGACTCAGGATTCGTTGGCGAGTTCGTAGGCGGAGTGTTACTAGGTGAAAACCGGGGATCGAATTGAGACGTAGGCGTTGGTTGACCCATCATGCCCATTCCTTGGCCCATGCCTGGAGGCATACCTTGACCCATACCCCCACCCATGCTCATCATGGACATCCTAGGATCAAAGTTCCCGGACATCATGGGATTCAGATTGGGCGAACTTCCGGCAGCAGGGGTCGCAGCAGGGTTTTTACTGGGATTATTGTCGTCTCCTGCTTGAGACCCAGCAACGGAGAATGCCATCATTGCTTGTTGATACGCCTGCGCGGCTTGTTGAGCAGCGAACATGTGTTGTGGGTTCATACCTAGAATGATACGGTCGCAGAGAGCAATCAGTAACCAGTAAAGAAAAAGCTGAATCGGGGAGAAAGAGTTAGAAAATCAGTGAATTGCTCACCTCCCATCATCATAGGGTTCATCCCTCCGGTCATCATGGGTGACAACCCTCCTCCCATTTGCCCACCAGTCATCATGGGATTCATAGGCATCATCCCCCCGCCAGGCATCCCACCAGTCATCATGGGATTCATACCTCCCATCATCATAGGGTTCATCCCATACATCGACATCATTGGATTCATCCCGGGGAAACCCCCATACATCGACATCGGTCCACCCATACCCATCTGACCCATCGGCATCTGCCCCATCCCAGGCATGCCTCCTTCCATCTGCATCCTCTGCTGTTCATCCCACCTCCTCTGTCTCTCCTCTACCATCCTCCTCTCCCTCTCCCTTTCTGTCAACGCGGCCCCAACACCGCCGTCTCTCTTCCTCTCCCGCTCATATCCCGTGATCGCACCAAGCAACCCCGTCTGTGGCGGTGGTGGTTTATTTGGTACGTTTATCAATGACGCTCCGCTTTCCCTGGCCATCTCTTCTTGACGTTTAGCAGATCGATCTTGACGGTCAGAAAGACCGGCAGAGAGAAGGCCCTGTGGGGTGAATGCTTTGGTAAGATGGGTCGACGGAGGTTCGAGCTGGACGAAGAGGTCGTTGCCGCCTCGGCCGATCGCGGGGTTGTTAGTATTGGAAGGTAAGGGAGTTGGAGCGATGGGGTTGGCAAAAGAGTGAGGCGCAGAATGAGGGTTTTCTGGGACAGAACCTTGATTATGATTTGGGTCGAGGACTTGAGACCACATGCTTTGTCGGGGTGCTCCCATTCCTGGGGTAGAAATGGGAGGCGAGAGCCCGTATTGGGACTGGGAACGCATTTGCTGGGTAAGCTGAGGTGGTGGTTGGAGTTGTTGGTCATCAAAGTAGTTACTTCGTGGTGGACCTGATTGCGCAGGGTATTGGTCACCTTCACCTGTAAAAAAATATCGCATCAACAAAAAAAAAGAAAAGAGTCAACGCGAAACACATCAACTGACCCATTCGACCTGGAATCTGCGGCAACGTTCTCGGTGGTCGCAATTGAGAAAATTGACCTTGTCCATCCTCATTTTCTCTACTCCCAGCTTTCGAACCAGTTTTACCTCTAACTTTCGGCGCTTCATCCGAATCCACATCTCCCTCATCATCATCGTCCTCTTCCTCTTCCTCCTCTTCCTCCTCTTCTTCACTACTCCAACTTCCTGGCTTATTCGTATTCGGCACTGCTCTCATCTTCCGAGTTCCGCCACCTTTACCGCCACCAAAGCCCCCAGGGGCAGTTGCGGCACGCCCACCAGGACGATGAATAGCCGCAGCCTGTGCAGCCTGCGCCGCTTGAGCTTTGGCTTTACGTTCCGCGGCAGATTTCGACGGGGCAAATGAGGATTTGTATTGGGGGCCAGATCCTTGACTGGGAATACCTGGGATGTTGGTGGTTTGTGGGTTGGACACGTTCGAGGTGTTTTGGAAAGAAGAAGAAGAAGTGGGAGAGGATAAGTTCGAGTTGGATGTGGGCAATCCTTCTTCTCCGTTATTCGCGTTATTCGCGAAGGAGCGGTGCACAGAGAGCGGTTCCACCTTTTTCGCCGCGTTCGTTGTCCCGGAAGCATCATCCTCTCCAGGATCATTCACATCCAAATACGACAAAACCGCAAACACATCATCATCTTCTGCGTGTAACTGCGAGGACGATTGGGAAGCCATAGCGTGTTTCGCGTTATTTATGTTTATAACGTTGTTGTCGTTGGTGTTGTTTTCGCTGGTGTTCCCGGCGGTAAACCCTGCGTTACTGTACGTGTTATACGTATTATTATCCGTACTATACGCACTATACGAGCTCGCCGTTGTCGCCGTGGTCGTCGAAGACTGTTGTCGATATGCTTGATGTCGTGGTGGAATTTGTGTTTGCTGTAGTTGCTGTTGTCGTCGTTCCTCCCTTTGCTGCTGATACTGCTGGTAATCGACTGAATTATCTTCTAGACTCGAGCCTTCTTCTGGTGTTTCTAATCGTTCCTGGTCTTCTTGCTCTTGCAACTCGTCTTGTTCTTCTGAGACCTCTGATACACCTGGGACGTGGTGAGAAGGAGGAAGCGAAGAAGATGAAGAAAATTGAGTCTGACGAGACTGCGAAGATGCCGTATTACTATTCGCCGCGGCAGGGTCGTCGTAGCCTTCAGGCACACCAACCGGAGGTAAAGCCACGTGTCCGGCCGACATCGAAAACCCGAGCTGTTGCCGCTGAGGCGCACGTGCGCCGGACGGCTTACGTCCGAGACCTCGCTCTGCACCGAGAACAACTCGGTTCGCCGCTATCGAGCCAGCAGAGGAGGATGAATTCGGTGGAGAGGCAAGTGGAGAACCGAAAGATGGGGAATTGAGAGATGGTGAAGAAGAAAGTGGTCGAGAACCGAAGGTAGGAGAACCGATAATTGATCTAGGGGTTGCCAAGTTATTCATTTGATTCTCTAGACCAGGAGAACCGATAGAAGGAGCTACGGGAGAAGACCCCATGAAAGCCATTGGCGTCCCTTTCCTCGCTACAGGCGACGCTTGCATTCCAGTAATTACAGTCTGACTCTGACTCTGATGGCTATTCGCAGCCTCATACCTCCTCCTTAAATCCTCTGAACTACTCTTGGATCCCGGTTGGGACGTGATATCACCGTTGTAATCACCACGATTATCACCCGCGGTTCTGAAGCCAAGCATGGATTTTGCATTGACTGTTCCATTACCTTGTTCATCACGGCTGTTAGATCCACCATGACGCTGAAGATTGTCATCATGGAAATCACGGAGCTCACGAATATCCCGAATATCACCATCACTGGCATCTGCAGATTCAGTCTCTTGAATGGTAGTAGGTATGCGTCTGATTCCTGCGCTGTTGCCCGTGTTGTCACCAGCATGCTGTTGTTGTGAATACTGCTGCTGCTGCTGTAACGTAGAACGATGATGATGACGATGATAATCCGCCACGTTTGTGCTGTTGTTGTTATCCTTGTTATCCATATAATACAGCCCTGCATCCGAATCACCATGCGAGGGAGTATAAGAAGGATGCGAAGAAGGATTACCGAGAGGAGCAACAGAAGTCGTAGGCGAATTCATAGGTGAATACGGACTCGTCAATATTGATGCTCTGTCACCAAAGCCTGCATTTTTCGTTGGGCTAGGTCCACCTGGAGGATTGGAGTTACTGAGAGCAGGTCCACTCGACGCACTCGGAGTCGCAGGTGTACTCAAAGAGCCCGGAGTCACCGGAGTGCTAGGCGTCCCAGGCGCATGATCCGCCACAGAAAATGGGGACGTCAGAATCGACACACCTGACTGTGACAAATGGGATTTATGTGACTTGTGTGAAAGAGCAGGCGAATGTGACCTGAATCCAAGCCCGAAATTCGCTCCACCTCCTCCGATGGGTGGAGGTGGGGTCATCGGTCTGTCAGAGGACGAGGAAGATGAGGAATTGGAAGGATTGGCAGTGGCAGGATTCTGAGGATTAGGGAAATTGGCAGGAGGGGACATGGTAGAAGACGATGGAGACAGACTAGGAGATAAACTAGGAGACATAGGTTTTGACTTCGGCAACGCGGTATTCACCGCATTTGAGAAACTCTCAAACGACGAATGCGGGAGCATTCCTGAAGCGGGACTACCAGTACCACCACCACTCGCATTCCCCTGCGTAGGCGAGATGCTTCGAGTTGGCGGCGGAGGTGAAGCAGGAGTTGTACTTGATGTTGTGTTGACATTCGGAGGAACGTCCACACTCTTCCTTCCGCCACCACCCGAACCAACCGAGCTGAAACTCATCCCCCTCATACCCACAAAATCTTTCTCCGGAACCTTCGGCGACACTGACCCTGTCCCCTCCCGATCGCTCTCCTCAAGAACAGGCGATGGACCCTGGAACCCATACCCCGAGTTCCTCCCCCCTGTGCTCCCATTGGGTCCGAACCCACTCCCTATAGTACCTATCGTCCCAGACCGCATAACACTCGCTGTGTAAACAGAACTCCGCTCGGTTATCGGCGTCAACAACGCCCTCTCTTCCCTTACATCATCTGCGGCAGAGCTCGAATCAAACGAGAGAGGAGGGAGTTGTGGGAGAGATAAGGGTCCTGAATTTCCGGAGCTTCCTGGACGAGCTTGACTGTTGTTGCTACTGCTTTGTTGAGCAGTCCGGTCACCAGCGCCAGAAGGCCCTGCACCCAGAGTCGATGCACCAGGTGGTGTGATCGGTGCGCCCGACCCAGCACTACCTGCAGATCCAGGAGGCCCGCCCAGCTCCATACGCTCCTTCAAAATACCTATCAACCTCGACCGGATAGAAGACGTTCGATCGTCCCGAGGGTCGAGAGATTCAGCGTGTTCGCGGTCGAGGAAAAGTAGCTAAAAATATTTTTGTAAAGAAATGCGAAGAAATGACCTGAGTAAGAACTCAAAAAATGACGACCCGTAACTCACATCTTTACCTGGCCCAACAGGATACGCAAACATCAAGCTCGCCGGGTCTCTGGGATCCCATGACCATGCCTGAGGTCGGCCGTAGAGTTTGAACGTATCGTGGAATGCTATAGAGATAAAAATGAAATCAGCCAACCATTTCAAGGTAACCTCAAGAAGAAACGCAAAATAAAACTCAAAGCTCAAGGCTTCTAAAACTAGTGCTATAGTTCCATCCTCATTAAACTCCCTCAATTCAAAAACAACCAAACACTTTGAACTCTCAGAACGAAAACCAACTCACCTATAACCCACTTCAACATCTCCGCCGCCTGACTCAACCCTCCCTCCAACTGCGGCATAATCAAAACCCACCCCTCCCGGCCACGCATCGAACCGGCACCGTCTTCTGTGCCAAACGTCGCTTCGACTTTGAACAAGGTGGAACGGGAAATGAGTTCAGGACGTTCGGGATAGACAGCGAATGCCTATAATTGTTCAGTTGATGTGATTTTTTAATGTAAAACGTGGAATAAGAACACAGAAAGGACGTAAAGAAAAAAAGGAAATGGATATCACCTACCTGAGAAACAATCGGCAATGTCAAAATCGGTTTTTTCCTATCCTTCGGTTTAGGCGAAGTATACATCGATACCATTGGGGGTTCGTTTGCGTTCGAGTTGTTGCCTGAATTGAGATTGATAAGATTAGCAAGTCAGAAGAGAAAAGAGAATGGAAAAATCAACAATTCAAAAGATCTCAAGAAAAGCAGACTTACGATGATTACTCGGGCGACCATGATGATGCTGATCACCTCCCTGGGAGGACGAATCCCTTGAAAACAAGGCGGACATCCGTTTCTTGGTGAAGCCTGTTATGGTTGAGCCTGCGGAGGAGGGTGGGGAGGTTATACTGGCGTTGGCGTTAGTGTTGTTAGCGTTGGAATTAGAATTGGGACTGTTTGGATTATTCGGATTATTAAGGTTGTTTGGATTGTTGGAAGAAATACGGCCGAGTTCGTCTGGACCTATAGTACAGATATTGGAATGGGTTTAAGAGAAACGCTTTAGGACGTACCATTCATACCGGCAACACCTTCTGAGCCAGCACTAACCGTCATCCAAACGAGTTTCCAGTCCGTCTGACCAGCGATACGTATCCTCACCCATCCTTCGAGACGACCTCGTACGAGTGTAGTTGGTATATCCCTAGCTACAAAACAAGGGAGAAATATAATCAATCAACCAAACCTGAAGGGCAAGATTTTAGTACTCACCACTAAGGGTAATCCTACACAAATGCGCTGTATAAATCTCCTCCAGCCTACTCTTCTCCCACGCACTCAACCTCAACGCCGCCGCCCAACTGATCAAACTCTGCGTATGCGGACACGCGAATAAGATTAAATTCGATCCAGCTGTGTTCAATGTCAACACATTCGTATACCTCTGTGCCGCTTGCGCCGGTACAGCTGGTCTAGCTGGTACTGCAGGATTCGACCCGCTCGCAGGTTTCGCTGGTTGGGCAGGCTGTGCTGGTGTAGCAGGAATAGTAACAGACCCAAGGACTTGCACAAACGCATCAGTCATATTGATGTAACTCGGAGGCACCTCCTTCCCTAGCTTGGATGCTTCCTGAATCTCTTTCATATTCCATACGCTCAAAGTGGTTCCACCGAGCTGAGCCCATACTTCTTCCCAGATAGGTGGTCCGTGCGGTTTCGAACCGTTGGGCTCGCGCTCGACGCGACGAATGAGCGGGCCGGAGAAGTAGATTTTGTGGGCGTGGGCCACTGTGAGTCCGACGACGGAGCGGATTTCTGGGTGGAGAGGCGGAGGTGGAGGAGGTTGAGAGGGAGAGTTAGGTAACGCGGTAGAAGCTAGAGCGCCGGTGTTGGGAGGTAAAGGAACGCCTGAAGGTTGTGTTGGTGGTGGATGCAATGGTGCATCGACGTCGGGTGGCTGTTGTTGTTGTGGACCAGACGATGTCGATGGTCTAGACGCCGCCATCACCTTTCCATCATCAACTGGTCCAACCCTCTGTCCTGCATCGCCTACACCGCTGCTCGTCGACGACGGCTGTTGTTTATGCCTGAAGGAAAAGAACGAGGAAGTTCTGGAATGATTCTGGGACGAATTTGAATTCGAAGCATTATTCACAGGCCGAGGATGTGCCTGGTCAGATGAAGGAGCGAACATTGTTTGTTGGGCGTTCCTGTTTACGCCGGTATTGGTATTGTTAATATTGTCGAAAGAAGCTGCACTGCTACTCCCACCACTACCAGACTCCTCCTGCTGTGGTGATGACGGTTTAGAAGTAAAATGATGGGTAGGCGTCGTAGCCCTGATTTCTTGAAGTTTAGTTGGTGAGATGAAACTTTGTCGCCGCGAATCCCACTTGCTGCTACTTTGTACTCCCACTCCACCAGCGTTGTGCATGAACAAATATCAATCACAGTGAAAGGAAATGCAGAGAATTGGATGTCGAGAAATAGCTGTAGCTAATAAAGATCACGATCAACACATCAAATCAGGGTAAACAACAGAACAACTAACGGGAATATAGGTGGGTAACAGATAATTTGACTAACTAGTTGAGTATCCAATGAGATAGTTGGTGGGTATCCAGTGAGAAGTGAGAAGCGCACGTTCAATAATTCATACCAGAGCTGAAGCCTTTTTTTGGTTTTTATTCCACCGGCAATCTCAATCTGATTGACAGTGCCGAGAATAACGGAAGAAAAAGCGTTTTGGCCGATCTTCCGACTACATAAATGGTTGGTGATAATTGAACTTCATGAATTCTCTCCCTCCTTGCACTCAACTGCAACATCGACGCCGGACAATTACTGACAGAACAACACCGATCAACACCGATTGAAAGAGCGGCTAACGGGCTTGAAGGGTGGTCATTTCATAGCATTTTATCCAAGCCAGATTCAAGCAGCGCTCATTGTCAACTACATATTATGCATCGGAGTTTGAGAGTCATGGATTCCCTCTCTCTTGATAGTATGATAGTGTGTTCCTGTGAACATAATCTAGCCTTAAGTAAAGCTTTACTTCACGTTCTTCTCTGGTAGGTGCTAGTTCAGGTCATAGATGATGGTGTTGAATATCGAGTATGAGTATATCCCTGGTAGTATATCGGTTTAGTACACGCGCCTGTCATAAAATGAATGCATAAGGATGCTTTCGCGCGAAAGCTGGGTTCGACTCCCAGCCAGGGAGGTTCCCTTTTTGGTCATTTTTTTGCTTTTGTTTTTTGAAGAACGTATTGGAAGCAAACGTAGAACTAAGGAAGGGAACAACACAGTACCAGTTCTTGAGTAACGGGCTCATACATTGGTCGAGACTTGTAATGGAGCTCAGTCAGGTATTTTTGAAAGATACACAAAAATTGGCAGTGGGTTCTTCCCAGATAAAAACATATTTTTCAGTAGGAAACTCTCATAACCCGCAAACTGTATGCTATAGTAGGCTGCCGGGTGTGAGCAGAATAACATCTATGTACATCGAGAATAAATTCTGCTAGATTTGAAGATCATATTCAACCAAGATGATGTACTATGCAAAAAAACTCTTCACCAAAGAAACCTGCAAACTTCATTCCACATCGCCATCAAGAGACGGAGCAACCAGAAATGTTGCAGTCGTCCATCCATAACAGCGATTCAAACGACCACCGATCCTATAATGTGTCCAACCAAATTAGTACTTTGATATCTCAACCTCCTCAGGACTGGCGCAGCATATACGTACCATTTAATCATGAACGGAGTAAGCAGCGAGTCTGGATGTGGCTGTACGAGTTGGCGACAAGGATCGGAATAGTAAGTCAAGACTGGAATTCATGTAGACTTCGATAACAATTACCCGATGAAAAGTTATTGGCCTAGCTGTCTTTGCAGGAGGGTCAAATCGCACAGAAGATCCTGCGGTCTGAACGATATCAAACCCAACTCGTTTCATTGCCTGAGAAGCATATTAGAGAGAGGGAGGGAAAGAAAAAGAGTCAACGATAAGCAATCAAATGAATTCCATCTAGTATCATTAGAATTTGGAGATAGATGCGTACTTTTTCAAAATCATCCCAGCGCACTTGACCTTTCTTAGGTGCATCTGGCGCGAGGTTGGGATTGTCGTCGTTTTCAAGGATGCGTTGGAATGTCTAGAACAAAGAAAGGTCTGTTAAAGACACATAGCTCCATCTTCGATGAGGATCAAATGTACCTTGTGTACTTTTTTTGGAAGCTTGAACTGTTTTGGTAAGAACTCTGGTATTAAGTACTCTTCCACCTCTTCTCCTTTCTCATCCCCACTTGTTGGATCTTTGCTTCCTTTTCCTCCTTCAGGCCCCTCAGGCTCGTCAACAACCATTACAGAAGGCCGAGTTTTAACTTTGTCCTTTGTCGCATCTGTACCCACATTTCCTGCGGCATACGCATGTCCGGAATGGACAGCAGTATCCCGGGGACCAGTGCTCACAGGTATCACTGAAACTGCAGACCCAGGTTTTGCAGTAGATTCAACTTTTTCTTTCTCCACAAGGGAGCTATCCTCAAGTTCACGCGCGATCTTCATCAATATCTTGAAATTCCACCAACTTGGTCGCGTGTTGTCCTGAACATCATACAACCCAAACATCCTCGCCACCGCGCCCTTTCCCTTCTCTTTCCTTCCATCAGGGGGATCCAACTCCCCGGCCCTCTCCCAACACCACTTATCCGCGTCATACCAGGTCTTGTCAAAAAATGCATTGAATTCTTCCCCCTCATCAAACCCCGGCCGCTGCTGCGCCCTGAAGCCCGCATATTCCGGTGAATGGTGCATCCACATGTAACACCTCACGATATCCGGACCAGTCAACCCGGGATCAAATATCGCATGGGCCCATACGTCGACCATTGCCTCGACGATGCTGCGGCAGCGACCGAAATGCCAAAACGCATGGTCATGGTGAGGAGGGATGTATTTGGAGAGAGAGGAGCGGGACATGAAAGAGACTTCTTCAAAGACAATGTCGAGTTGGGGGGAGGATGGGGATAGTTGCTTGCTTTCGGAAGCGGCTTCTTGGAGACGTCGACCAAAGTGGGAGGCACAGAATTCTTGGAAGAAATGGGTAACTGTGAAGGTCAAGGAGGGAAAAAGAAGAGTTTTTTGAGTACTCTCGTACTTCATTTACGTGCTGAGAGCGAAGACGTACCAACGAGATATTCACCAATCTCGCGCCAAGCAACATCATCAAATTTCAAAGCTTCTTTGGGGAATTTGCGCTAATACCATCGGAAAGAGGTTTTTGAACAATGATATGCGGAACCTGAGAGGACAATAACAAACTCACCAGATGGTCCTTGATTTGCGTGAGGACGAAATTCAGTGCAGACCCATGGGCGCCACATACTTTGACGATGATCTCGTCAATGGAGTTTCTCGATACGGATGAGCCCGAATATAAGTATAATCTACTTCGATTTTCAGAACACCTTGGTTATCCTGATGTCGTACAGACAAGTACAGCCAAGCAGGTTAATTCTCCCTTGCATTGTAATTTTCATACCAAAAGAACATACGTACCCTGTGTCTTTTGAAATACTTCGAGAATGCCGGCAATGCAGCTAGGACTTGATTCGTGCGTGAAGATATTTTTGAGGCGTAAGTCGCAGTCATTGCAGCCAAGCCAGCTAATCGCCATTTGAGTCGAGGATCAGCCTTGTATGCTGCTTCGATCGCGGAAGTTTTTCGTAGACCGCGGAGTTCAAGCTCTTCAAACAAGGAGACTGCGAGGGTCCAGTGGGCATGAGCAATCTTCAGAGATCAAAAGACGAAAAGTGAAGGGAAGTGAGAGAAGCAATTGAAAGAAGAGGAGAGAGATTTTGCCATACGTGTATAAGATGTAACCTTGAACGATATGCATCTGACCGCAGTTGCAGATCGCGCATATACGGTTCATGCATGTTTCCGATCTCTCCCGGTGCGGGTACAGTGCTTCGAGCGCGTTCTTTCAAGCCTTCTATGAGATACTCCGAGTCAATGTGCCAGATCTCGTAGGTATAAGCAGTCTCATCCTGAGGGTAGAGGAAATGCAGCGATAAATCAGCCGTCTGGGTTCGCAGTAGGATTTCCTGTTTATCTGTACTCACAATTTGCGAGATGGCAATCCGTTGAATTTCTTCCCAGTCGACATCTGCGATCTGACATCCATTCAATAGACTTTCTACGAAGTCAAATAGAGCCGGAAAAATGTATAAGTATTGTCCGAGGCATATCATCATTTCAACGAACCCATTCGTCTCTGTATTGAGACCAGCAAAAGAGAATGTCGATATCAATAAGAGAATACTGTGTCTGAAGAAAGGATTTCTGACCACAAGCCATTTCGACGAAGGTTCTCCCCGTCTTCTGATTGCAGCGGGCTTGACGCGTGCTGGTTCGACCAATAGATTTTCTGCAGTGAAATTATGGTATTGTATCATTGCTTCGTCACTGACGCCTTCGAATCTGACATCAAATTCTTACTTTCGAGAAAGTTGATTATTGAAAACATACCTAACTCAACCTGAATGTCAGCACCAGATGAATGAGCTAGATCAGGGTTGGTTCCAGAAGAATAAATGAATGAATTTACAGCTGCATTGTTATACATCTTCCTGTTCCCAGTAGAGGTACCAACACGTTGAACTGGAGGGAGTTTACATTGCCGAAGAATTCTGTGTGCTTCTTCTTCTGGATGGCTTTTGAAAACCCTGATGAAAACAAAGTAAGATTGAAAAGACTTTCATCAACTCGAGTCACAAAATTTGAAGGGGAATGTTCACACCAGTCCTCGAAGTCCAACTGAGCCTTGGGTGCTTTCATGTATTCGACAGCATTGGCAAACCACTCAGCCATAAACGGATTAGTACCCCACCGTTTAGCGCGTTCTCGGTGTATGTTCGGGTTAGCAGTGGCCTGAGAATATGAGGAGGTTTTACCATTCGAGCTTGTATCGGATTGTATTTTGGGGGGTTTGCCCTTGCTGGATTTGTTGGATATTTTTTGCGTTGAAGGATTAGGTGTTGGCTTGGGTTTTGCGTGGACCATTCTGGAACTGTCCAGTATAGATATTAGGTCACCGAAGAACGTTCGTGAACTAGGGCTGATAGTCTGAAGTTTGACATACTTTACTCGAGGTGGCATTTTGGTTTGAGAATCAAGAAGGATTGATTGCAGAGCGCAAGTTGAAGCTATTCTTTTATTGAATGCCGTTTTACTCAGCCGAGAGCTGCCGTGAGTCGGCGCGACACTTGGCTACGCCGTAGAATTCTTGTCTTTACCCCAGAGCCTTCGCATACAAGTGATCAGCGTTCAACCTTGCAACGCTAAATGTCAAGGCCGGCGCTTTCAACTTTGAACGACCCTAAATATCTGCGCGATTGTTGGGGGTCATAATTCAAAATTGCGCGACACGGAGCACGGAATGCATCATTGCTGATTTTGCTAATTCGGCGCTTAACTCGTAACAAAACGGATTGCGACCACGCATAAAATCCATTTGCTTGGGTTTGATAATGGGCTCAGGGAATGTTTAAAACCCTGTTCAATCGCGCGTTCTTTGCTCAGAGATTGTATCGAATCTACAACATTCGTATGAATCACAATACTGCTGCTGTTCTTCCCCGTTTGCCAGTCCCGGATCTACAGAAGACTGTCACGAAATATCTTGATTCTCTACGTCCCTTTCTTCTTGAGGACGCTGCTCATGGAGGACCTTCATATGAGGACGCGTTTGCGCTGCGGACAAAATGGGCAGACGATTTTGTCTATGGAATTGGAAGAGTATGTCAGGAACGTTTACATGGTCGGTACAATAATTTCCTGACTCCATGGAATAACATGCTGATTATAGCATTTACTTTCAAAGAGCTCGATAGAGCCTCCCCAGACAATTGGCTGGACGACAACTTTTGGTTAAAGAGCTACTTACAATGGAGGGCGCCTCTTCTCATAAATTCCAATTGGTGGCTTGTATTCAACGACGACCCGTTACATCCCTCGGAGGAAGATTTAGTCTCAGGTTTTACCGAATGGCAGCTTCAAAGAGCCGCTTGGCTTGTCCATCGGACGTTGGGGTTCAAAGATAAAGTTGAATTGTGTGTACGCAACGATTGATCTGCGTGTGGGTGTCTAACATTATTTCACCGATACTCAAGGCAAGAATTGCATCCTGTGACTACACGAACAGGTAGGGT